TCAATTTGATTGTACAATTTTCTCATTAAGGAAAGTCTCATTAAGGAGACGTATATTCTTAATGAGTATTTAAAAATAAAAAATTGTAAAACCCCAAAAGAGGTTCATGTATATGATATGTTGAAAATTGAGATATCTCAATAAGTTATGTTGTTGTAGAATAAAAAGGAAAATGTTATCGAACATTTCTGCACATTTCTGCACTGCATCATATTATGAATAGCGAGGAATCAAAAATAATTCGTCTAAATATATCAACTGAAAAAATAATTCCAAACAAAATTATGCGATCTTAGTAAAATCGAATTTACTAGAGAAATAGGAAGTTTCTGTATTTGATCCCAGTAAAATTGAACTTATTGGAGAAACTTGAAGTTTTTGGACCTATAATCCAAACATCTTGAGGTGTATACTTATGCAAAATAAAAATGAAAAAAGTAAAGTCATAATATGAAATGTATGTCTCTTTACATAATGAATTTTGTGAATACTTGTATAAATAGATAAATAATCATGTGGTGGATGTAATCACAAATCTCTATTTTATTAGTCTGACAATGCATGAAATTTGATATGTATATAATAAATGTGATTATAGCCAACTTATCTTATATAGTTTTAATACTATCCTTGAAAGATTATATGTCTAAAGCATATAATTCAAATGATATTATCACGAGAGAGAGAGAGAGAGAGAGTAAATACACGTACTATTTTTTTCCTTGATAAGGGTTTTGTCCCATTGAATTTTTCGGCGAGGTTTTTACCGAGATAAATTTTATAGTATACTTAAAAGAATAATGTACTCATTTTTATTTATTAGGATTTTTCCTAATAAGGTTTTAACAAGGCATATCATTTGTGCAATGAATGTCCATAACATACAAGACATTTACCATCAAAATAATACTCATACATGTATGAGACTTTTGAAGAGATCAACAAGAACTATTTTCAATATCATTATGTTACTACAACCTTAAATGTTGATTAATATCTCGTATGAAATAGAGTTATTTGAAAACATTTCAATCAAATTTTGTCCAAGTGGATTTTCTTGATAAGGTTTTAACGAGGCGGCATTTCGTTACTCCAAAATAGTTGTACTCTTTTTACATTTTTTTGGTATTCTTGTCCTAATGAATTTTTGTCAAACAATGTTCCAATGAGATAGTTATTATGCAAATAATCATCGAATGAGAGTGTTATCGAATTATAAGATAAATATTGATGATTATGTAGTATTATCAACATGTATAAATAAGTTATTTAGTTTAGAGAGTTTATTTCATTTTAATTGTAACTCTCATTTTGAATCCTATAAATACGAGTTTTGATTCTCAATAAAATACACAATTGAGTTTTAATTCTTATAATTTTTTTCTCTATTTGTTCTATTTCTTTAATTTCATAACAACTTATTTACTGTCATCTAGTCATTCATCTTCATGCAGTAAAATTAGTATGGTTAGAAATATCTTCTCATAAGCTTTCCAGTCATATAAAGAACTCAAATTTTGGACTTAAAATGAAGAAGTTATGAGTCTAATTTTTTTCTGCATTAAAATCGGGAAAACCTGAATATTAATCACATGATAACTTCTTTCAAACTGTGTTTCATGATAAGCATTTGATATGGTTTGATAGATCTTCTGGATACCTTTCCAATGGTATAAAGAACATA